TAGCTGTATCTCATTGGCAAGCGCTTTCGGGGCCTCGCAGGGTCCCCTTCATCAGGCTTAGACCCTGCGAGGCCCCGAAAGCGCTTGCCAATGAGATACAGCTATTGGCAATACAATATTTTGCTTTTTCAACTCATGGTGTGCTGGTGACATTTTTTCTACACTTCACAGTATGAGGCACATTGCCACCTGTGCATCCTCCCTTTGGAGTTATATCAAATGTTACCTTTATTTACTCTATTAATATCGTTTTAATGTATTAAACAATTTTTTACTCTTTCATTTAGCACCCATTCCATTTTAGAGGGAAATACCTTATTTTCTATTTACAAATCTATTGACCTGGTAATCCCTTTACTTTTATCTCTATTTACATTCTTCTATCAAATCTCTCTTTTCCCTCCTTCAAATAAATAAGTCCCTTAGCACCCATGCGCAACATGTTTTGCGCCTATTTGGGCTTCAGGGGGTCTGTGCAAATTGTGCCAACAAAAAAGTGCTAGTGTTTTTCTGCCATCTCCAGGAAAATAAACTACCACAGACCACATGTCACAGTGCCTTATATAGATTCCTATTTGCCATCCTATTGTGTCACTTCTGTCAACGGCACTTCCGATAATGGTACTTCCGGTGACGTCACTTCTAGCAACGCCATTTAGGATTCCTCTATGTGCCTAATAGAGGGTAATATTACTGTATTTTCTCTATTTGTGCTGCTTCCTTTACCCTTTCCTCATTTTCAAGGCTTTTACCTTTTTTTTTATAATCTTTTGCTGTTTTTATTAATATAAGTTTATTCTTTTGTGCTTTATCTGGCCTGTAATTCAAACAAAATGTATTTATACTTCTATTTTATTTGATTAATTTACATATATAACATATTTATAAATATCTAATGTATTCATTATTATATTCATTAAATTATATACATATTCATTATTTCTTAGTTTTACACATTTTTTATTTGTTTTTTTATTTATGTATTAATAGTCACAAAAAACGGAAGAAGGTGAAGCGTTCATTCAAGCCATTCGGGTTCAATTCAAATATCCATCTTGCCTCAGTTCATAACAGCTTATCATTCAAGTTTCCTCTTCTGGGGCCAAAATGTAATACTTGCTATCCCCAAAATTTCAACTCCTCCTATCTTTTCATTGTGTTTTTCCTACATATGTCATGGAATTAGTTTATCTCTCTTTAGGATTATATCATTCACATGTTCCAATACACATCTCCTCAGCTGTCTAATTGTCTTTCCAACGTATAG